AACAGCCCGTGATGCGCTTCTAAGATTAAAGACGTGAGGTTTAGCGCTTTGGCTGGTGGTGTCTGGGTTGCAGGGCTCTGGATGCGGTGTCCCCATAAGCCTGAGCTCCAACTCCGGCAGAGGTCTTGGAGAAGAAAATCCGATTCTGCACCTTCTCTTGGGTTCTCCATGTCACAGAGGTCAGTTGATCAAGACACCCAGTGGGAGTGCAACCCTTGCATGGCTAACAAACCCAAGGGTTAACCTCTACTCTAGTTCGCCATGAGATGGGCAAGCAAGAGTTGTTTGAACCCTTTCAGGGTTGGAGCGCCATGGTTGCTGCTTTCAATGCCACAGTGAGCCACAGTGAGAACTGTTCGTTTCCCCCTTGCCTCCACTGAATATCCTCAATTCAGTCTGCCGTCTCACTTTGTGTTCGTCTTCCAGAAGCTGATCAAGCGGGTGATAATCCCATGTGAGATTCTCACGAGCACTATTTCTTCAAGGTGTTAGCTTGAAGCCGTACAACTTTACATCCAGCGTCTAAACGAGGCCCTTGACGAGTTCAAGGACGAAGCCATGATGAGGCTGGGCATCAGCAACTCTCGCTTGACTTCAAAAATGGGCGGTGCCTAGCATCAAAAAGCCATCACTACTAGCCGCATCGGCATGGAACCTATACTGTATCATTACAGTCGCTACGAGCACTGTAACCGTCATCGGTGACATCAAGCTTTATACAAGATTTGGCGAGTCCTAGAACTCCTCATCCGGGGCTCAGGGTGTAAGCGGTTTTAGGAGTCAGGGCTTGCTCCTATGCAGTCCCCTATTGATTTTGCTGGCATTCCTGTGAACTGCCGTCAGCATGACATAGTCAGTACAGTGGTTGCCGAAAGCATCCTGAAAACGAATTCTAAACCACATACCCTCCAAGCCCAACTCAGAGTTCCTGAATCATGAATCAATATCAAACCCACTCCTTGCCTGCCTTGTGCGAGTTGCGAGAGTGGAATCCTAGACCGGAAACCGTACACCACGAACCCTCCCGGGATTCAGGTAACCCAAGGCAGGCAAAATTATAAAAGACCCAGCCCTTCTTGAGTTGCTTGAAGAGGGCGCTTGCATGTGTAGGACGAGGAGCATCCATGACTTTTGGATGGAGGACCCGGGGTTTGAAGAGTCCCGTCCAGGTCTGATATGGCTGGTTCTAGCTTCTAACACTTTGGGTTTTCAAGGGGCCCCATAGGGTAGTCCTAGTGTTTAGCCTTGCCTGACGTCCTGGCAAAACCTGGAGTTTCATAATGTCGAGCCCGCGAATCGATTCTAAATGAAAAGCTGCCTTTACAAGGGAGCCCCTAGTGCCAACAAGACCATAGGGCCATAGGGTTCGGGGCGTAACAACCCAGTGTTCTCCGTTTCTAACCTCCAGAGCAGATGGGATCAAGGCTGGGTTTTGGATTTGGGATCACCCAGGAACCGAAAAATCCACAGAGCCCCAGACCTTGAAGCACTGAAGCCGTAACTCTTTTCAAACCCTGCAATCCTACGGCACAATGACCCAGACCTTACACTCTAAATCCTCGGCCATGTCATAAGTTCGGGCGATGGGTGGGTGCCGTGCTTCGGAGGAGTGCAGTTTACAGTAGGGGTTCGGGCTTTCGGGGCGGGTAAGGTCCCCACTTAAGGCACCACCACCACACTTGTTTCCGTCAGGACCTCGATCCAGGAGGGGTGGGCGCTGTCAGCCGCACCGAGTCGATGTACCCAGCTGAAGGGCTGTTCAGTTTCCAGCGTTCGTCTTGCTGTGCCATCGTGTCTACACAGCAGATACTACAATTGACCATGACCAGTGACACGGTTGATTGTAGGGATTTGTCGTGTTGGAAGTGAACTGGTGGCCAGGGGGTGGTTGCGGCATGTTGTGGTGATGCTTTGGTGGAGTTGTAGGGAGCGGCATTGGGATGTGTTGGTGGCTGCTGGGCTGTGGCACCAAACAGGGGCCATGGTGTTGTGAGGCCTTCCGAGCCCCCAAAACCCGAACCCGAGATGACAGGTGCGTCAGTCCAAACCCGGAGCCGCCCTTGAAAGCCTGGTCTAGTCCCCGTGGCTGCAGGTTTCTCAAAGATGCCGGAAAAGCCTTGCGTCGACCTTGCTAGGTTCTGGGAACAAAAGCTTAGTTCAGTCATCCTGTGATCGAAAGTCCGCAAAGCCCAAAAAGACCAAACCCCAAAACTCTCGAAACCCTATAAACCCTGAAGAAGGCCGTGAGAATGCAATCTCCAGATCAGGGTCAGTCTAGAGGGTCTAGGGCAGTTAGATGATGACCTTTTGTTCGGGTTTTAAGATCTTGCCGCTTAAGATTCACGGTTTGGGTTTAAGACAGGAGTGCTGTTCTGTGAGGAGACATTGTCCTTTACGGTTATAGGTGTCAGACAGGGCTTCGGGCTGTAAGGAGCGTCATGGGAATCGGACGGATGTTCAGGCCATTTCGGGAAAGTTGGTGCCGCAGTGAACAACAGACTGGGTTTGCACCACTAACTCAGAAGAGCTGCAAGAACAGCACTTAGCAGCAGGCGAGAACCACAATATATGAAGTCCCGGCATCCTGCAGGAACCTCACCGACCTCATGGGATTAGTCCAAGACCTAGCTGCCCTGATTTCCTGATAGCATTAAGCCCGAAGCCGCTGAACGCCCTGAAGCCTCAAGCCCTAATCAGTCGGAAACGGGCCCTCAACAAAAAGAAACCCGAAATAAAAAACCCTAGCCCGAGCGTGAGTGACCCTACAAGAAGCCAGGACTTCCAAGAGAGACGTTGATCCGAGTCTTCAATGTCCTAGATACCACGGCTACGGGCTGGGTAGGGAGCCCCAGACTCTTGAGCTGTTCTGTTGTGAGCCTGCTGTGCATGACGGTAACGGTTATGCAGCTTCAGACGGGCAAGCGATCGCCTATGACTGCGTTGATTCTTATTCTTACCCATGTTTTTGGAAAAATGTCCGGCGCATGACGATCACTGAGTCGGCCTTAAACAACAGTGGCACGGAGTGTTGCAGTGGGGCCTGTGCCCTGCACACTAAACTAGGAGCCGCAACAACCGAGCAAGGGCTACTCCCAATCCCGTTTATTGTATACTAGGATAAGAATCCGAGCTCCTCAACCCAAGTACAGTAGAGTGCATATGCGCTCCCACACCCTCTTTTTTCTCTAGCCAAGCCCAGAGCATAATTCCTTACAGTGGCGGTTTGGGGTCAAGCCAAGTTTGACCGTTGCATAGAGTTAAGGTTCCTTGTTCGAGTTTACGGTTGGGTGATTTCTCTTCGGGAGTTCGGGCCCAGGCTGAATTTAGGAAAGTTGAGGGCTTATCGCCTTTTAGGGCCCAGCAGGTGCTTTCGGAAAGAGCGAAAGAATGCGGAGGTGCATCCGAGCTAGAAATGTCCATAAAGGAATGGCATGCTCCCGCATGGGACCTGCACTCGGTTTAGGGCTCGTGGTTTAGTGAGGTTTTTGGAAGTCAGGGCTTGATAGCTTAGTAGAGTAGGGCCTCCTAGCTCGACACTTCCGAGGTTTCTCTCGCTGAGTTCGGCTACCTTGAGGCCGGCGTGAATGGGGTTCGCAGTCTGGCGATGAAGGCTTTCCAGACTTTCAGAAGATATCCCAAGAATCGGGCAAGATCAGGGGTTTTGGTGATTTTTGATTCTGATACATTCGTCCGCGTTTGTCCGGGCAGGAAGCACATTCCTGAAAGCAGAAACCCTACAGACCGCGACGTGTGGAGCCTTGCCTACCTTGCGCGAGTGTGAGAGTCGAGAAGCCCCACAACGCTGAACAGCCAGAAGCTCGCAAACCCAAAGCCTTCAAACCGTGACATCCACCAAGCACCTGGTAATCATTGAAACTTGACTTGCAGCCTACAAGCAGTGAACATTAAAAGTCGAGACGTTATGCCTTATGTCACCTGCCGTGAAGTCTACAGTCTAGTTTCGAAACGTGACAGATGCAAGGAGAAAACAACAGCCTTCCCAAACACCTGACTTCGACCGGCCATACAATCCCTAAGCCCTAGGCTTTCAAATCCTTCAGCTGTTGGTGTTGAACCGTCTTAAGCCTTCAAGCCTAAACCACTTAAGCCTAAATCGCAACCCTCCAGCCACGCAAATCCGGAGCCTTAGAGCTGCGAACCCGGAAGGCCCAAGCGAAACACTTGTGAAAAGTCTTGTACACCCTGCTTTAACAAAACAAAGCAAAAACCACATCCCGATAAGGCCCGACGGAACCAAAGAACCTGTTTCCCAGGCGTTCGAAACGAAGATCGCCGAGGCCTTGGCTGAGGAGAAGGCGAAGGAGGGACAGAAGGCCGGCTTATTTACTTTAAAAGGCAGAGGCTGAGGACAGAAACGGTTCAGGGTTTGGGGGTTTCGGGATTGTATAGGCACTACTAATAATTAAACAAGCTCTATAAGGATGCTGTAAGACTTCTATTTTGGTTCATATCTTGCTTGGATTGTTGACGGGTTTAGGGCTGAGGTTTTTGAGGGTTTTCTCAGTGAGTGCACAGGGTGTTTTCAGAAGTTTAAAAGGGCTCACTGCGGTGTTATTGGCGTTATCATGTGTTGCCATCAAGGTCGTATACAGGTCGTTACGACTCCGCCATGGTAGGCCTGGTAGGCTGCATTAGGTTGCTTAGCAAGACGTGGGGTTTGAGTTAGTTAGGACGAAGCGATTAGCAGGCGGAGTTCGGCCTCAGGGTTTAGTACCTTAGGGCTCAGTTTCTGTTGTTGAAGATGTGGCACTGCTGCCCATCTGAAACCTTGTGGCATGAGAAGCAGTGCCGCGTTTTTCATGGGAGCTTTCGAAGAAAACCATCAAGCCGCAGAAGACCCAATCAAGATGCCCAGAGAGTGTCAGGAGTCTAGAGGTTCCTGTACAATGGAGGCGTAAGATGAGGTTCTTGGTTAGCTGAGCTTGTGCATCATAGCTTGTTTGGGTTAACTTCGGCACAGGATTGCGAGGTCTTGGAAGCTCCCACCCCGTCTTGTGCAGCACCACGGAGGTCGCACAGGTGGCACGGAAGTAGTCATGCTTACCAGAGTGAAGTTTCATTCTCATGGGCGTAACAATTGAAGCAGTGGTCGACGCCGTTGTTACAGGACAACTTTCGATTAGCCAAGCCCGGCGACCGTTTCCAAAGTGAACCAGTGCACCAAAAGACGGCCAATTGGCCAAAGGGTGTGGATGGACTCCATTCGAAGAGGGGAGCTCATGGAAGAGGGCTCCGGGCCCAGGCGCAAGGGTAGGGGAATTGAGTTCGCAGGTTCCGGCTTGGGTGAGAGCGCCAATCCCACCCAGCTTTGTACACTGTAGGCACGTGGCTACCCGATCAGCCATGCCAAGTCCGTGCCAGAGCTGGCCAGCGGCAAGCTCAGGGGAACGTGTGTGCCCGCTGAAAACCGACTTACAGTTGTGGTTTCTGTGGGTTATAACGTTCTTGAACAACACCATCAGCACCACCACGGCAGTTGCAAAAGCCGAGACGACCATCAGTGTAGTGCCATCCTGGCGCCTTGTCGTGCGAAGGCCCATCACGAGCGGCGAAGCTCCTGCTGCCCCCGGGGGCGCCTCGCTTGGCTCCGACATCCAGGGCATCAGAAGCAGGGGGCTCTAGTATCAGCCCCAATCCATACGTCCTGAAATTGCTTCTCGCAGGATCGTCTGCGGGTTTCGAGAAACGGTTCTTGTAGGTTTGTAGGGACATTGTGCATGGGTCGAAAAAGCTAGGGTGGGGTTTCGGATAGGTTTCAGGTGTACTACAGTCTTATAAGTAGGTTTTGAAGAACAGGAGACAAAGCTAAGTGCGATGCAGTGTTACGGCGTCCTCCCCTGTGTCGGATCAACGTGCCGGTCCTGTGAGCTTCGCCGAGGTTGCGGAACCTCCGCTCCGAATACGAACACAGTACCGAGGATTGACGGTTTGGATTTAGCGAACAGAGACAATTCTGGCACTGAAGCTTCGGGCTCAAGGTGGCTGGTCTAGTGCTGTACATGGCCGGTGTTTCTTGGTTTTGGAGTTCCCGGCCAGAAACGCAGAGTCCCACGCCGGCCAAGCCCCACCGCTCCCAGAATATCAAGTCTGAAACCCCAAAGCCGATGTACCCTGCCCAACCTCCTGTGGTGGCACAGAGGTGCTGGGCGACTTCCGTTTGCCATGGCAGGCCGCTTTCGGTTTGGAATAGTATGTTTCGAGGATTGTTGAGGCATATGGGTTCGTGGGTTTTACGGTGTAGACTGTATTCCGTAGCAAGTTTCGAGGTTTGGGGAGCTGTTTTTTGCACGGGCTGTGGACCATTTCGCCGGCAGACAGTCAGAGATGTCTTTGTTGTAGATTTGCCTGTTAATCACGACTTCCTAGGACCAACCTACTGATGAAGGGAATCTACTGCGGAGGAGCATCTGTCCATTTGATTCCATCTCTGCATGCGTGCTTGCACGGGTGTGTGTGCGCAAGTGTATGCATGCATGCCTTACGCATGCACGCATACACACACACACACACACACACCCACGCACCCACCCACACGCACGCACGCACGCACGCACGCACGCACGCACGCACGCACGCACGCACGCACGCACGCACGCACACACACACACACACACACACACACACAAACACACACACACACACACACACACACACA